TTTTCATGTAAATAATAGAATAAAAGGGAAAATATGTAAAAGCAAAAAGGTATTTCATGTTAAGCTATAAAGATTACTTCATTTGGAGCCAGGGACGATCTCCACCACCACCAGGGACGATCTCATTTTAATTGGTATCTCCCCTTACTTAGCTTGGACATTTGCATTGCAAGGGGAGATAATGTTTGGTTTTTGTTGGTTTTTAGTATACTCATATGAGGTATATGGAATGATCTTCAAGTCGCCCATTTTATGGAAATGACTTGATAATGTATATTTAATAAGTTAATAATTTTGTTATTATAATGATTTGTTAGAGTTTACAGATAATAATGCAGTAATGAGTTTTACGATAAAAGATTAATTGTTATTATAAAGTTTTTTTTTTCGTTTTCTGAACAGTAATTATATTTATACTTTACGAATCCTGTACGTATGATATCATATTTAACCCTACGTGTCACATTAAATATGGAAGAACTCAAAAATGAAACAATTTTTGGGGATGTTCCGTTTCACTATTGACAAAAACTATATTTTTCTTCATGATATTGTTTCATTGCAGCTAACTTTAAATGTAACACATCATCAAATAAAGAAGTTTCCGTGGTAGTCAGTTCAGTATGTAAGGAATAACAAATCGGGTGAACAATATTGTTTAGACCAGGCGTAAGTGTAACTGTCACTGCGCTTTATTAACTGTCCTACCACTTTACAACATGCCAAAGAAACAATTGAAACAATCTGTACGATATGAATTGTTCGTTGGTAGATTACCAAAATTTTTTATTTTTAGCAAAAGTAAGATTTAAAATTTAATTTATAGAAATTAAGACATTCCCGTGGAACAAAAAATAATCAATCAATAAAAAATCTTGACACCAATTTCTTCTGTATAACTTCCGAAATAAGCGAACAAGTGTATTTTTTTTTGTTTGTGGTGTGGTTTTCCAATTTTCTTTATATTCTTTATAAACATAATATAGATTTGTAATCATAAAGATAAAGCAACCCCTGGATGGATTGTAACACATCAATATATTATTTTCCGCAAGAAGGTTTGACATGCATCAAATCCAAAGATCACATTGATAGTAAATTATTTTTTATTTGGTTGTTCTGCGAGGTTTGAGAATTCAAAATCATTTTT